CTCTTTCCTGCCTATGCAGGGGGTCGGACTCAATGATCTATTGTGGTCCCTTCCGACCCTAACATCTACGAATCTATGAATCTATGAAAAGAAGGGGATTGTGGGGAAGGGGTGCAGGGGTAGGGTCTCATGGAGCATGGGGAAAGGGTGCAGGGGAAGGTAAGGACAGAGCATGGGGAGCATAGTGCTGGGGCAAATGTGTGGGAAAGGGTGTGCAGTATGAGGAACACAGGAAAAGGGTGCACAAGTGTGGGGAGAGCACAGGTGAAGGGATGTGCCGAGCAAGGTGAGTGTGCAGAAAGGGCATGGGGAAAGGGACGCAGAGTATGGGGGAAGTGGAATGTGCAGTGAGAGAAGCATAGGGAAGGTGTGCAGGGAAGGGGCATCCAGTGTAAGGGGAGCACAGAGAAAGGGACACACAGAGCAGGGGGAGTGCAGGGAAGGGGTATGTGGAGCTGTGGGGCAGCTGCTGCAGCTCTGACCTCAACTGCAACCCCAACCCCAACTGGGGTTGGAGGCTGGAGGCTGAAGCCAGAGCCAACACTACTGCCTGCCCTGCAGGGTGCTCCACGCCCCCAGCAGAGACAGAGCAGGACCAGCTGCAAATGTAAGGGGGAGGGGGGCAGGCACAAGAGGGGGACAAGTGGTAGGATGGGAAAGGCACTGGGGGGGATGAGGGACAGGCTTGCGGTGGGGGGAACTAGTGGCAAGTTGGGGGCAAGAGCATGGAACAAGGTGCTGGCCTCCTAGCTGCTGCTTTCTCTGCCACTACTTTCCCTGTGGCAGTGGTGGGAGGGATGACTTTAAGACAGCCCTCCAATAACTAGATTCTAGACATGCCAAATTAGAACAAATTTATAATTTTCCATGTCTAGAATCTAATAATTGAGGGGTCGTCTTAAATTCAGAGTCGTCTTGGATTTGGGTGAATACAGTATTTATTATTATTACTTAGCACAGGAGAGAACCCTGTGCCTCATTTAAAGAATAAAGGAAGGTGCAGAAAGTATAACAAGAAGAAAGGGGTTTCATTCTCCCACACATGGCATTCTGCTGCTGCAGCTCATTCAAAACACCTTAGTACCAGTCTGATCATTCCTAATAACTCAACAGAAGAGATACCAGCATAGCTCTGCCACTGCGCCTTTATCCTATCTGAGAGCCCACAGCAAGGGAGATGGAGAAAGTTGGGGGTGGTTTCGTAACACTGGCACCTGGTCATTAGAAACCAGTCTGTGTCCTCCAGCTCATTTGACATGGAGCCCACCAACCAGCAACCTGGTGGAAACTGTTTCAGTGACTCCTGACCTGGAGACCAGGTGCCCCACACAGGAGAGACCATGTGTTATTTTAATTTTGGCTTCACCAACACAGCCAAAAGAAGACCAAATTATTGAACAAAGAGATGCTATCATTTTCCTCCCCTTCCAGCTCCTAATCTGTGCAGCTGTTATGTAGGAGTGAACAGTTGTGCTGCAAGTAAGACACTATACATGGCACATGCATAGGCTCTAAATTGCCTTCTACAGTGTCTTAGGCTGGCGGAGCTTTGCCCAGCTCTTGCGTGCTGACAGTTGACATTCAGAGCTTTTCCAAAGTCATTCACATTCTTTTAGCTGCATGCGGGTCAGAGATATTACAATCCAGATGTGTGGACTTCACTGGGAACTGTTCTTCACTGTTGCTGTAATGGGTAACTAGCATTAGGGTTCTAGGAGCATGCATGTACCAGTTTAAGCCACAGAGTCTATTGCTTATAAATGCTAAGCTAGTTGTCTGCATACTTTCCAAACTCAAGCAACCCCAGTAAGCATGGTATTGAGTCAAACAGCAAATAATTTCCCTCTCAAAAGTAGCACAACAGCCAAAAATGCCGGAGGAGCCCACACCTCTGTGCATATAGTAATTCCCTTCTATGTCTCCAAAAGCAGATAAAGACTGTACCGTACCTCCAGAAAATGACCTGACCCTGCGAAGCCATGGTAACAGGATCACTTCAGACAGCACTTCAGACTGTGCTGGGTGTTGGAAAAACCAGTGCAGTATGCAGACCTGCCTCCTTCCCTGTGAGACGCATTCTTCAGGGTGCTCTGCTTAAGTAGCTGGACTACGCAAAGGAGTGGTGACTCCCAGTAGTGCAAGCTGCGGTATGAGGAAGCCATGGGGATGCAAGCAAGTTTCCCATCAGGCACGGTCAACAGCAGTAAGGCTCATGTTAGTCGTCACTAAATGAGGGCAGTGCTGACCCCTGTATTAAGGTTGCTCAATGATTGCAATTATGAACACATTTTCAACACGCTGATGTGTCTTTTTAGAGTCCCAGTGCCTCCACAATCTGCACCATGGGTATGACATGACAGTGGGGCAATCCTGGGGCCTGAAAGGGGTTTTTAGCTGTCTTAATGCAACTCTGGTCAGCCCTTTCCTTTTGTGTGTCCTTCTGACAAGGTATTTAGCAGAATTTGCAGATTTGTTGGAATCTGACAGGCTGTGCCATCCGTGCTTCTGCTTTGGCCTTGAATTTGCAACCTCTGGGCTGTCAACTGTGCACCTTAGCCCCCACCCAAGTCAGTGATGGCCCTATTGCAAGCTTTTCAAATATCACCATAAGAGGTCTTCATTGCAGTTAACAGGGTTATTGTCTTAGGGATACTCCCCTAAGCTTTTGTGGCTTTCTCACAGACCTGAGTCGACCCAGAACATTCTCCCCAGTTTCTGTCGTGCTGAAGCAGTATATGGATCGCTAAGATCCGTAGGTTTCATCATAGGAAGGGTGGACTGGACAAGTACTCCTTCGGTTAGCTGACTCCCTGAACTCCTCCGCCAGCCATGATTGTAACCCGCTATCCCATAAGGGCTTCCACCCCCTCCATCTCCCTGCTGTAAAACTACCCAGCTCTTTCAGCTGCTACCCCCTACTTAATTTGCCAATTGTAGCCTCCTCCCTCTCCTCCCCAACCACAGCCCTGCCCCACACTCCTTTGAGTTCCCTAGCCCAGTGTTTCTCAGCCTGTGGGTCATGACTCAAAAGTGGGTCGCAGGAATATATGAAAGGGTTGTGAACTTGAAAAACGGATTCTCCTTTAAAGGACAAAAACGTGGGAAGCCATGGCTTTTCCCTTGCAGGGTGGCAGAGCTCCAGCCTGCAAGGGGCTGCTTGGGGTGGTGCATGCCTCACATATACCCCCCCACCCCACACACCCACTCTGTGCCCCACACACTGTGGGGCTGGGAACAGTGGGTTGGCAGTGAGGGGTGCTCAGTCGGGACTGGTTATCAATGTTTACAAACAGGTCCTGGTACAAAAAAGGTTGAGAACCACTTCCCTAGTTCACAACCACATTCACTCCACATCAGCACCATACCTAGATTCCTGGTGGCCCCAGGCAAACTTTTAGTATTGGGACCCACTTCGCCAGATAATGATAATAGTAATTGGACAACAGAAAAAAAAATACCATTTTCAGGCCCCCCCCCTTTCTGTCCAGGCCCTGGGCGGCCACCCGATTCATCCATGCCTGTGTCCAGCCCTGTTCCACTTCTGCTTTGTCACTCCCACTACAACAAGAGAAGTTCATTGCTCACTGTTATACTCCATCTCTGCTGAAAATTTATTTCCCCGCAGTTATATTTGCTCCCTCTCCCCACATGAAGCCTAGTGGGGGAGAATGACTAGCTCTCCTTTACCCTAACCCTCCTTATCATTTTCCCTTTCCTGTAACTGTACTACCTCCCTCATGTTTGGCAGTGCCCATGTTCTTTTCATGAATTTCTTGCTAATGACTGTTTGTAGAAAAGGAAAGCATCCCAACTTCCTGTGCGACTACATTCACCTCAAGGCTCTTACAACAGCGCTGATCACACAACCGTCTTGAAGGGTCTGTGCGACTCAGGAGGCATCAGGTCAGAAAACAGAAACAATGTTGGGGACTAGCCAGGACAGCCCAACTAATTATAAACTGCAGGTTTCCTGAGCAACACCAGAGGAGGGAAAACTGTTGCAAACAACCTCATGGCAAAGCGGACTGTCTGTGAGCAGAGCTGGGAGAACAATCCACCATACATTTATTTGATGAATCTAGTTACTCATTCCCCAGTTATCTGCAAATAGACTTTGATTTTCATTAATTGTCCATTATTAATTGACAGCTATTGGTGAAAAAGGTACTCAAACAGTATTTACTCTCCCAGATGTCAGTGGCAGCAACCTACACATGAAAAGAGCCTAACAAGCATGGCTCTCTAAGCATAGAAGAAATGCCTTCTTCAGCAGCTCCCCTTCTGGATGATGAAAGGAAAGGTATAACAATGGTTCCATCCTCCTTAGCTGAAAGGATGGTTGTCCAAAATCTGCTTTGTAGGAGGAAAGAAGGGGAAAGGAGGACAGCAGGGTAAAAAAAGAGAATAATGAAGGCTTGGCTGAGCAATGCCCCAACCATTTTTTATTAGTTAATATTTATGACAGTTATTATTCATAAACAAGAATCAAACTGTTGCTATGTAAACTTGTGTACTGTCCCTACCTCAATAAAACCGACTGGCTCATTTCTGTCCACACCTCAAGCAGTTCCCCTTCTCAGTCCTAGATGGCACGAGGAACCCCAGCTGCCTCTGTGGTGGGCCCTAATATGCCACCTCCTCACAAGGTTTGTGCAAGTGATAAGAGTCCAGGCACACCTGCCTGGGTATGACAGATTGTTCAAGTCTGGGCATAGAGCATACCCTACTCCTAAGGGTCCAATAGTTCAATGCATGGGCCCAGCACACACACAGACAGCAGCTGTGGGACTTAATGCAGAGTAGGGGAACTAGCAACTGGGATATGAGGGGCTGGAACCCCAAAGCTTAATGGGGCACTGCTCACATTCAGCTGACTTAGGATGTAGAAAGATAACTAACAAACCAAAGTCCCTAGTAACTTTATAACAGAGTCACTAAATGTGAATGCTAAAAAGTTTTAATTCCACAAAACACTGGGTAACCCCTGAGCATTTAGACCCGTTATAAACAAGCACTTTAGGCAAGTAGGTGAAATCCAAATGTAGTCACAGTTCAGCCTTACGATGACATCCTGCTGCTGTGAGCCCAGGCTGCATTTGTTCCAGTGGCCTACATAGAAGGGGAAGCCATTTCTCTTTCCTAGCTTTCCCAGCTATGCGTGAGCAGAATGTAATACCACCCTGCAGATGAAAAACAGCACAAACTCTATGGGACTCTGCCAAAGAGGAACGAACAAAGCAGAAGCAAGAAGCTGATGTGATTTAAAACAAGGGGCATGGCTCAGTTCAGGTAATTTCTTCTGCCAGTTTTCTGCACTGGCCAAAGGTCTGTGCAAGCTCCTCTTCTGGCACTTGCTAGGAGGCATACCTGAGCACTCAGATTGCCCCCAGCTTCTTCACATGCAACAGGTGCATTCACTTCAGTATCTCATTCCATTTCCAGCCACACACAGTGCGGAACAGGTGTTGCACTGACTCACATGGTAATGCACCCTCTAACTTAATCATCAACACCCTCTCCTCCAGTCCCACGGGCTTCCCTTGGATTTTACATAACCAGGTATCAATCTAGCCTGATCCTGTGTAGTTTGTGGGACCTAAAAAGATCACAGGCTGAGGCAGCACACCTAGAGGGAGAGTACAGTTTGCAGGCAAAATAGTGGATCTGTTGAGTGCGATTGTGATGTATCCACACAACTGAGATCAGAATCGAGCACCGTGTCTGGCAGAGGCAGAAGCAATAGGTCATGTGCCAAGCCTTTCCTAAGCATGTATGGAAAAGCTCTAGGAATGCAACCAAACCAGGACCTTTGGTCTCTTCACAACTATGTGCTGAGAACAGAGAAAGGGAGCAGAGGCAGAGAATGTCAACCCTGTAGAACAAGATGTGTCTTGACCCTCTGGGAGGTAACTGCACCTTCCTGTATGTGCTGATGCTTCCTCCCCATGACCGTTCACTTAGGATTGGAGTTCAGTGCCTAGTTACCAAATTCCGTGTTCTCACTGAGCAGAAGTCAACATTGTGCTTCCCACAGTTCATTCTAACCACATGTGAAAACAAGTGCTCACAGATATCCCCCAGGCAAAATATAAGGCACGTATTTATTTTAACAGGTCTCTCTTTCCCAGCACACCCCACTGCAGTTCTGTCTCAGCAAGGTGCTTCCTGGCAACAGGTACCGTCTCTGTAACCCTGCTGAGACAGGCATGAGTCCCAGCCAGCAGAGACACTCCAGGTCTGTGGGGACTTAGTCATCTGTCAAAGTGCTACAGTTCTGAGCAGGCTCCGCTGCAGAGTCTTACCCAGTGGCCCACCTGGGCACTCAGAATGTTTAACAAATCTTCCACAGCACGACCAGTGGGGAGAGCCGGGGTGACCTTTGTGTCCATGGCCGCAGCCTTGGAATCCACCTACCCATCCCAAGGAAAGAGAAGAAGCAACATCAGTTTTGCTGAAACTATGAGAAAGAAAGTTCTAGTGGGTAGTGACTTCCTAAGTGTGCCCTGAAACCCATAGCTTGGCTGGTGGTGTAGAGGGGTCACTGCACACATGCATGTGCGCACACAGCACAAACTCAGATCCTTGTGCTGTGGACTGGCAGCACCAGAACCCTTCAAACCGCCTCTGGTAGAAAAGACAGCTTATCCCTGGAGAACCTGATCTCACCTGTCTGTGCCATCTCCTGGAGCTTACAGACAAGGAATGTGCTCCCAATAGCTCATCTCCAGACCAGGCACAGGAGAAAAGGTCCCAGTGGGAAAAGGCCGTTCCTACTTTTACCACATGCAAACCTTAAAAGACAAACATGGGCCTTGCATGGGAGAAGGGAAGCCAGCTCTAATGAAAAGTGTGGCTAAACCAAACTTTCATTTTAGACCATGATCTGTACATAGCTGGGACTCAGAATGTTTCCCATCTACCAGGGTCAAGGGAAGCAGGGAGAGTTGAACTTTTGGGTGCTTAAAAGAGCTGAACCATCTGGACTTGGAGTCTTCTCTCAGCTGTATCTCTTGCCGGGATTGGACTACATTCACATTCCTCCAGGTCATGGGAGAGCAGATGCATGGGCTGGGGCAGGACTGAACCCAGAGCACTTAAAAGCACAGTGATAGGTGAGAGGGAATAGATGGGATATGATAAACACTTCTGGCTGAAGCTAAAGTTTGGAGAGAGCTCTGTGCTTACCTGGCATGGTCCCACCACAGGCACAGCGAGCAGCTTTCTGGCCTCCGCTGGAGCAGAATGTGCAGCAGTGAAACACACCCTGGTGCTTGCGGAATTTGTTCTTCACAGTTAAAGTGAATGGAGAGCCCTGATGAGGACAAGGGAACAGAGATGAGTGCTTGGCACATCTACTACCATACTGGGGCCCTGCTTGGTATCAAATGCTGCTTGAGTGATTCTGGGAATTACAGGCCTAATGAACCTAGCTTTAGCACCAGGTGACAAAACAGTGTATTAAATGCCCTCTAGATCAGCGATTTCAACATTTTTAGACTCAAGGAACCCCTGGATACCCTAGAGGAGGCACCCCTCAGAATTTGACTAAACAAAAAGAATAGAGCAGGGTTTTTTTATTGAAAAAAACTCAAAAAGACCACAACTATGGATTTCTATTTGAAATCTCTGGGTTCATCTTGTGAATCATGTTTTCCCACCTAGCAGGGCTAACATTTTGTCACCCCACAGCACCCTTGAAAGAATCACACAGTATTCCAAGGTGCTCTGGCACTCGGGTAGAGAATCACAGCTCTAGATGAATGTGCGATGATAAAAGCAGCAGGAGTTCTGTGAAGGAAAGTTATACTTCTGCAATCTACCAGAATTCCTTGAACCAGTCAAAATAGCAGACAAAGGAGAAATGGTGAGAACTGATTTGTGCCTTGGACAACATTCTTCTCAAAAGGTGATTAAGAAAATTAGTTAGAGATAACAGATGGGCAATTAGGAAGAGAACCAGCAAAGGGCTTAGTGGGCAGCAACAAGTAAACCTGGAGGCCGGCGGCAATATATCAGCAGGGAGCCTGTGAAATTTTTGAAAGAAACCAGAGCAAGAAGCAAGAGGGGTCAGCAAGGGAACTGACAAAAGGGAAGCAAGGGCCAAGCTGAGATGCTTTTCTGGGTGACTGCAGGAGATTCTTCCTAGGTAAGAGACTGATGCAGGGGATAAGGAACCCAGCCCCTTAGATTCCACTGGGAAGAACTGAGATATAAAGGTGGGACAGCAAAGATTCAATGTCTGCTGCACTATCACAGGGAAGGAAGGAAGTGTCTCTGGTCAGAGAAAGGGAATCTGGAGATCTGTGAGTTCTCTTGGGAACAGCTTAACTGCCTGATTCACTCCACCCCACACCTCACACAGTCATTTACAATGGGGCCCAATGAGCTGGAAACCTCACCTGCACATGCTGCCCTTTGACAGAGACGCAGACAATGTATGTGCCCAGCACCTCTGGGGTATAAGAAACATGGTAGGTCCCATCGCCATTATCACAGATGGCTGGCTTGATTGCACTACAAACACATGGAGAGAAGCAAAAGCAGTCAGGATCTTACAAAAAACTCTTCTAATGGCAGGCCACTTCGTAGACTAGACATGCATGAGTGGGGAGGTCACTGTAGGGTCCCTCCAGTACATCACTACAACGCTTTTGACACAATAGCCATGAGATGTGCTGACCACACACTAGACAAAAAAAGAGATGGAATCACCACTTGCAGGCAAGTACAAATAAGCAAAACCCAACATTCAGGAGCCCACATTGCTGCAGCCAAAGTACTTCTGATCTGCTGCTTCCTTCTAACTGGGAAAGGAGGAGGGAGTGTAAATAACAGGGGAAAGAATATGAGGGAAGAAAGGAGAGGAAAAGGAAAGGCAGCTTATCCCAAGAGGCAGGAGGCATCAGCACTGAAGGCACTTTGAAATGAAAATACAAATCACTGGGAGTGCTCAGTGGTAACTACCAATGCTGTACTGAGGCAGACCAGCGCTTTTGTTTTCTGTACTGTCTCTGAGCGGCCAGTGCTGTTTGCCTTTCAGAAGAAGATACAAGAAACCCTGTAGCAGGGGTCTCTGGAACAGCCTGCCTAGATAGAAAGTTTGTCCTTTGCTCCCATTAATCAGAACTGCTTTTGCCCTGGAACAGGATAGTTTATAACCCTTACAGAACAATGTATTTGGTTTCTGCCTGCCATCTCAACTGAACACTCATCTTCTTCATCTTCAGACATCACCCTGCCATTAAATGTGGTTCTGAATTGTTCAACAACTGCTGTGCTGCTCCCCAGATGTGACTATTTCTGCAGGGGAGGAAGCGATCACAGATGCACAGGAATGTGAAATCACGTTGATATGATTTCAGTGATCTCTCCTCCCACTATCAGAATTAACCTCCATAAGGACAGGTGAGTTGTGTGCACTTTTCATTCATCTCAAGTGGTCTGGAGTGCAGATGGAAGGACAAGAGATAAGTCCCATGGCAATGCTTCTGGTTCAGTAGATATCTACATACAAGGTGATGCTTCCCTTTATTGTATTAGATGTAATTGCTGGCCTTGTCACTTCTGCTTGCTGTGTGGCCCGAACCAAGATATAACCCATATAGACGACTATCTATAATCAAAGCTAGACTCCTGAATGATGGCAGATTTCAGTTTCCCTCATAGCAGAGTTTTAGCATTTTGTTCTCTCCTACATCATGGCAACCAATCAACAGCTAGGCTGGCAACCAGCTCTGGGTTAGGCCCCTCTGGAACCAGCTGTATCTTCAAAGATGACCATGACAGATTTTTTTTCCCCCAACTGTGCTAATGCCCTTGCTGCTCTACAACAACTCTAGCTCACCGTAAAGCTTGTTTCAAAAGATTTTTGATTTGTTTAAAATTTTTTACCTTAGAAATACCCAAAGTGTCAAGTCTGGTTTTTCCTAGTTTTGCAGAAAGACCTCCAACCCTGTTTTGTTTGAGCTGATACTTCTTTATTGGAGGAGGAAAGGATGCTGAAGCTTTAACAAAGACACCTTTTAAAATGAGATATTATCTAAAACCTAAGTCCCAGTTCTCTGTTGTCCTGCCCCATGTGCAGCCATGTATACCAACACAGCAGGAGTACAATAAAACATTACCAAGTTAGACAAGCTGCAATTCATATCGACTGTGCGGGGAAGAGTTTGTAAAAGCCTAAATCTCGTAAAACTTATTACTGAATGTTGGGAGCTAACAGCCACTGTATCAAACATCTGGCTCGGGGGCTACATACAGCCTGCAAGGCTTTTCACAGGACCAGAAATGCTGCAGTGGGGTGAACAGCAATGGCATTAACTCCCACAACAGCGAGAGTCACTGTATTGGCACGGCAGCGCCAGCACCCAGGGAGCTAACACTGCTGCTGTCCATCCTGCCACCAAAATTCTGGGTTGCAATCCTCATTGGGTATAAAATTCTGTGCGGTGTTAACCTCCTGGGTGTTAGCCCCGCCTGCAGAGCAGCTCAGGCAGCCACTGGGGCCAACACTGCTGCCAGCTGCCCTGGCTGCCTGCTGCCAGACTTCTGGATCATAATCTCCACCGAGGACACAATTCTGTGGCAACAGGGTTAAAGGCAGCAACTGCAACCCCCATGGCTGTCAGGGCCAGCTCCAAGGAGGTTAATGCTATCACCATTCACCCCAGAGGTAGGTCATTTGGTCCTGGTCCTGGACTGGAGGGCCAAATTATTTTGACACCCTGGCTGCAAGGGATCCACAGGCAGCAACTGTGACGAAGCTGCTGCATAGTCATGGCCAAGGGTGCTTAATCCACAGCCTGTGGGCCATGTTGTTTCCCCACTGCCAAATTTCTGGACCCACGGGGAGCCCCAGGCCCTGCGCACTGGATCAGGGAGCGAACTAATTTACTCCACAGCAGGATAGTACTTGTAAATACAAGTACTATGCTGCTGCAGAGTAAAAAAGCCACTTCTGATCCCAGCATGCCGGGCTGAACGGGGGTGGCACTAAACCCCAGGACCCAATCCTGGCATGTGGGGGGCTAGGAGGGGGTGGTACCAGGCCCCAGGGCCCAATCCCAGTGTAGGGGGCTGGAAGGGGTGATACCAGGCCCCTGAGACACAATCCCAGCATGCTGGGTTGAGAGAAGATGGTACCAAGCCCTCAGGGACCAATTCTGGCCCCAGGCCTCTGGGACCCAGTCCCACGGTGCTAAGGTGGAAGGGGGAGGGGTCAGACCCACATAGACCAATCCTAGGGCCCAGGGGTGGGATGGGGCAGGGCCAGGCCCTGCTATGGACACTCAAGGCAGGGAAGGGGCAGTGCTGGGCTACAGGGTCCAATCCTGGCACATGGAACTCAATCCAGCCCACGGACCAGCCCTGTCAGTTATCTGGCTCATGGGACCAAAAGGTTGAGCACAACTGGTCTTGGCCAAAACACAGTTATGCCATTCTCCAGGTGAATCCTGGCCTGACTACTGACATCTCTTACTTCCAGGTGATTCTGAGCAGAGAGAAAGTGGTGTCAGCAGTGGGAGCAAGCTGATAGCAAAAGCTTTAAAGACAGAAGGCAAGAGAATCACTCTGCATCCCCTAGAGAAAGCACTCACCAGTCCTTCTTATCCTTGTGAACAAGCGTGACCTTGACGAACTCTCCTCCTCTCCCCATTTGCTCCCCCAGCGCATCATTGCAGAGTAGAGTAAAGCTGGCTGACTGATTCTGACGGGCATGGTGGAGATCTGAAAAGCAGAACAAACTCTCCCATACAGAACAGAACAGAACAGAACAGAACAGAACAGAACAGAACAGAACAGAACAGAACAAGACACACTTGACATCAAACAGCTACCTTCCATCCCTAAATTGTTCCAACCTGGACTACTTCACTTGTGCTAAGGTTTTACAAGTTTCCTTTCATCTGGGCACCTGAGCTCCTTCCTACAGGATGTAAAAAGAAGTATGTTCATGGTGACTAGGTGGGTTTGGCTGACCATAGCCTCCACAAGTGGCAAGCGGGCCTTAATCTTCAGTGGCAGCTGAACAAACTCTGTTTGATGTAGCCCGAAAGTGAGATGCAGAGGCTGTATGCCACTCTGCAGTCCCCTGGTTTCTGAACTCAGCTGGGAACTACTTCTGTCCCCCAGACAAAGACTGCTCTAGTGGGTGTTCAACTACAGCGGCCCCAAAGGAATACTGTGAAGGCTGGAGAGAGCCATAATGCAACTGCATTCCAGGCCAGCCCCTCCTAACCATCCTCGTTCCCACCCCACATGAGAAGCAGGGTACAGCACCATTCCACTCTTTCTACAGCACGCAGGGATCCCCAGGAGCTAGTTTAACTGATTTTGCAATCTCTCAGGCCCTTCGCTTGTTTAAAGGGAATACAGCAGAGACCAGAATCAGTGGTAATGTCCTTTGCAGAGTCACCTTTCCAGGATGCTGCCTGGAGGTAGCAGCATTGACCCCTGTGGCTGCCTGAGCTGCTGTATCTGCAGGGCCAGAACCCAGGAGGTTAATACCACAGTGGGGTTTGTGATTGCAAAGGGTTGGGCTGGCCACAGTTCTTCCCCTCCCATTCCTGGACGCAATTCATATGCTGTCTATTTTGCAATGTAACTGTATCCTCTTTAACTGCACAGGAATTGCAACCAAAAATGGTGAAGGGGAAGCAGCTGTCAAAAGGGCTGCTACTAGAAGCTTTGAAAATGAGGAGACAGTGAGCAGCTCAGACACTGACCAGCTCTTCTCATTTACAAAGCCTCTAATAGCTATCCCCAAAATTATTAGAAGACTTGAAAATGGCTGAAGCTAGTCAGGTTTGGGGCTGCTAATACCACAGCACTAAGAATAGCCAAGGTTGATTATTCTGTACTTAACAAGCACTGCTTACTATGGTTCTGTAAGCGCATTTGCCAGGTAAATGCAGAGCCTTTTTTCTGTCCCAAGGCTACTCACCAAGTCAGAGCACACTGTACTGATGAAGACAGCTTTAAACTGCTCCATTACATGTGAATTAACTCCTAGGCCCTCAGCTCTCAGGCTCCATTTCAGCACGGTGATGCAGCAAACATCTACATACCGAGCTTTTTATGGCTCACTTGATCTCTCCTGCATCAATTCTGTCCCTGGCTAAGCAGAACTAGGTGGTATGTGGGCACAGACAAAAATGTTCCCATGGACACTGTTCTAGGCTCTGAGTAAAGCCATTTCTTTGCAATTTCTTGGCAGCGAGCCATGATTACACTAGTGCAGAAAGTCTCCATACCTTCCCCTTGCAGGATGCACTTGGCTGGATCAACTGCCTTGTTGAGAACAGCCCCAAAAACCTCATAGCCATGGTACTGCCCAGCCTTCTCTTGGGGAGAGAACTGGATCCCATCATCCCCTCCAGGGTGCACACTGTAATCCACTCTGATCAGCCTCTTCAGCCGGCTCGCCACCACCCTTTTTGTGATAAGGATCTCCAGGTCAGAGCCATTGGTCAGGAGGTGTTCTGTAAACTCCACCCCCGTCCTCATGTCCAACAGCAGCTGCTCCAGCTGTGCTTTTTGCAAGTGCAACAGGTTCTCCTTCTGCACCTTCAAGTCATCCAGCTGCTTCAGCAGCCGGTCCCGGTGCTCTTCAATAGCCTGTATGTATCCGTCTGCAAACGCATGGATCTCTGCAGCCACTGCCTCCACATGACTGCGGATGGTGCTGCCCACCCCTTCAACCTGATGCAGTGCCTCTTCCAGGGCACCTACCTGCTGCTGGGTGCTCTTCAAGAGTTCCCTCATGGAGTCACCGTGCTTATGGATGACATTGCTGGTGAAGTCATAAGGGTGCTGCCGGTGCTTGTCCACCACACAGTCCCGGCACACAGGCCGGTCACACCGCTCACAGAACAGTTTCAGTTCCTCGGAGGGGTGGGACAGGCACAGGATGGGCTTCCCGATCCGGTTGTAGCCCTTCAGGTCCTCCATATCCACCACAGCATGGGAGGCTGTTTTCCTCTGTCTCCTGAAAGGAAGCAACCAGAAGTAAACCTGGGTGGGACAAACATGTCCTGTAGGCTCCTAAAAGCAACCCATGGCTACCTCACAGATTGTGTTCTGATGAGATGATGCATCACAGCAGGTGACATTCTGGCCTGATTCAGCAGATGGGCACATCACGCACCAGGACCAATGGTCTCCTGGGGCCACAGCACCACACTGAAGATGATAGCATGTGAAAACCATCCCATATTTGTAATTATTATATATGTGGGGGTGTTATGTTACATAGTCTAAAGGCGCATATCTATCCTGACTTCTAAACCATTATGCTCAAAGTCCCCTTAGGGAGCCTGATCACAGTTCGAGAAGTGCTGCAGTGCATGCTAGGGTTAGCAGGAGGTGGCCTGGAATAGACTTGTTCAGACACTGCCACTTCTGTAGATGGACAGGAGATGCCAGGCTTCTTACCTGTCAGCCTGGCACTTTTCACCAGCGTTAGATTCACAAAAGCAAGTAACCAGGGGAGGAGACCAGACAATTTGGACTGGACAATGGCTAAATGACAACCTGTACTAATACCCCTCCTTTTTCCAGGCACTGTTTGTTCCTGTCTGTTTATACAATCATGCCATCTTTGGCACAGGAAACGGCGCCACATTCTCTGGTTCCTGAAGTCATCCTATGCCTCTGCCTTGCCACCTCTTAGTTCACTTCAGAGGCAAACACCTTTCCTTGCCCTGGGTAGTGCCTCTTCAGTTTTTCCTCACTCTGCTACTATTCAACACAACTCCTTTACCTCTGCAAATCAAAGGGAAATTCCCTTGTGTGACTACTGACTCTCTGCCTCATAGGGGTGCTATGAGGAAAAATGTATTTATGTCTGGGAGGTACCCAAATGCTATGATACTGGGGCAATTAAGCATGTGACTTGCCAACTACCTGGTCATAAATGGGTCAATTAAAGCCAACATCAGCACTTCCCCGACACTACCACCTTCTCCTCCAGGACTGGAATTTTCCACAAGAACTTTCCAATGCACCTGCAAGTACCTTTAAAACATTAATACAGTTGTTGTTTACAAAGCAACCTCTTTTTGGGCAGCATCAGCAGAAAAGCAGAGGGCTGAACACCAACTGGAAACCAAACCTCCCTATCACCACCCAGCCATGGGGTCCCCTCAATGCCAGGCCTAGACAAAAAATAGAAAGCTTGCACTACCACTGCTCTGGCTGCAAGATGGGGGAGTTTGGGCTTCAGTCTCCAGAGCTGTTGTTCTCTGACTTTCCAGCAGAGCTAAATCCACTCAGATGGAAAATAGAGATGTCTGGAAACTGCTAATGTGCGGATTCAGATCATAGAGAAGTAGGGCTGAAAAGGACTTCCACAGGTCATGTAGTCTAAGCTCCTGCCTGACCCCACTGTGCCTCTGGACTGGGCCAGGCTGGATAGACAAGAGCAGCTCCCCTGTCCCTTCTCGGCCTGGAAGTCATGAGAACCCGGATCAACACAGGCTCTTCTCATGGCAGGGGCCAGCAGAATGTGCAAGGCTCTGTACAAACAGGCTGACACATCAACTGGAGACTTTCAACATGACTTGCCAAGGAGGCACATGGTGTATTTACGGAGTTGTTGATACTGCACTGTCATTTAATACTTCCTTTAGTACTGTGCTGTTACTGCACCATGCCATTCTTTGAGGTTTTCAAGACCCAACTTGACAAAGCCTTGGCTGGGATGATCTAATTGGGGCTGGTCCTGCTTTGAGCAGGGGGTTGGTCTACATGACCTCCTGAGGTTCCTTCCAACCCTCATTTTCTGTGAGTCTGTGATGTCAGTGGCGCACAGTTATTTTTAGCTGCTATGTCACCATACTGAAATACTACAACGAGGGAGTGTGTCACTATGGCGATGTAGCTGTGGCATCACAGTTTGTGCCTGCCAGTGCTACGATGCCATAGCATGTTGTTAGGGTGATGCAGTGCCTCGTGTAGATGTGCTCACAGACTCCCATTTACTTCATCTGGAGGAACTGATGCTTGACACTTCTTGAAACTCATGCATCCAAAAACTAAGTGGACACTTTTGACCCAAGTGTTTACTCCAGAGAGTGGACAGCTGACACTGTGTGTGTACAATGCACAGGAAGAGAATGGCAGGAGGGGCTTGACGCCACGTCTGCCATCTCCCTGCATCGAATGCTCCCCCCACACCTTACCTGTGAGCTTGGCTGCAGAAGTGGCAGAGGTTGGCTTTGCAGGTGTGACAGCGCTTCGCTGCCTCCCCATCCACGCAGAGATCGCACACCACCCCGTGCCCTTGCGCCTGCAGCGTCTCCAGCAGCACCTCGTTCAGGGCCAGGTAGTCCGTGGTCAGTTCCTGAATTCCGCCGGGGGGCAAATCGACCTCCGTGTCGCAGACGGGACAAAGGATGCTGAGCAGGGGCTGTGGCAGGTCCCGGAGGAGGCACGATCGATCCGAACTGGAGTCCGAGCTGCAATCTCCCTGGAAGCCCAGCACTGAGAAGGGCTCCAGCTGCTCCAGGCAGGGCAGGCAGAAGGTGTGCAGGCATGGCAGGATTTTGGGGGCTAAGAAGAGCTCTGTGCACAGTGGGCACCGGGTCCTGGGCGGCGCTCGGACCTCACTGGGGACTTTAGCCATGATCTTGGGCTGCTGCTGGGGGTCCGACATCACCTGGGATTGAGAGGATGGAGGAGAAATGAAACCCTCCCCCGAGGCACCCACACCAGGGCAGCCCTGACTGCGCCCTGCACCACCCACGAGCCTCCCTGCCCACCCCAGCAGCAGCCCCAATGCCCAGGGGACAGCTATGGTGCCAGGTGGCACAGCCGGGGGAGGGGAGCGGGGAGCTCGCAGCCAGGGGAGGGGAGGGGAGCGGGAGGGGGGCAAGGGGGAACCTCGCGCACACCCCTCCCCCACACCCGCCCGACTCACCCGGGCCCGACCCACCCAATCACTGCTCCCCGCTCCACCACTCACTGGACAGCCCCTGCTCCCAACTCATTGGCTCTCTCTGCCCGGAGTGACGCCAAGGCTAACCAATCGCCGCCCCGCCCCGCTCCAATCGCCCTATCAGTGCGCGCCTTATTCTGAGGGCTCAAGTCCACAAGGCTTAAATAGCACTCTCCTCGCTCCCCCCTCCCCACCCCCACCGCATGCTTCAGTCCCTGTGGAGGGGAGCGGCAGCCTTTCATATCAGCTCTGGTGTCGTTTCCCCCATGCCTTATTTTTTTTGCAAAAATCTAGCTGGTTTAAATTACACTGTTTAATAAAAGATACCACCTCTCCTACCAGTTTCATAGATTTCATAGACATTAGGGCTGGAATGATTCGTCCTCTGCCCTTCCTCCTGCGTGCCCTCCCACTGCCCTTGGTGGCCCCATCAGCCTCTGCAACGTAGTCCAACAGCCCCTGCCTGACCCCACTGTGGCAGGTGAAAATATTTTTCACCTGCCTTCCCCTGCATCTCCCAGCATCCCCCTGGCATCCCCTACCATCCGGGAGTCCTGGGGGCTCTGCCACAGTGCCGGGATATCAGTCCAGGGCTCCTCCCACCTTGGCCTTCTTGCTGGGAAGGGCTGGAGGCTCCCTGGAAACTCAGCGCTGAAATTGAGCTGGAGAGACAGCAACCCCGAGCTGTGGCAAGCCTGCTTGGCACCAGGCTTTACTGGCAGTGTCTTGAGAGATGCCTGGGATCCTGGTTTAGATCGCCCCGTCTCCCTGCATGCCGTCCTCCCCAGGCTCCCAGCAGGTGTAACAGGGTGCACAAGGAGAGCAGAATGAGAGAGGGCCCCAGCCTCACTGCTTTCATAGACAGATTTCATAGACATTAGGGCCGGAAGGGACCTTGCGAGATCATCTGGTCCAGCATTAGTGTGAAGAAGCCCCCAGGTTACCCCAGCTTGCACAGCCAGTGTGCTGTTTCCCATCTCGCAGGCAGAGTGGTGCTTTTGCACCCACTCCTGCCAAACAGCTAGCAGTCACACAAGGGGTTGGGCTGCTTGTTCAATAAAGAGTGCATTGCTTTTTAGTTCAGTGTCAGTAACTTATTTTTCTTCTTTTCCCTCTAGTCCAATGTTTCTCAACCCATGGGCCACAACCCAAAAGTGGGTCACCAGAATATATGAAAGGGTTATGAACTTTAAAAATGGATTTGCCTTCAAAGGAGAAAAACTGCAGCTTTTCCCTTGCAGGCTGGCAGAGCTCCAGCCTGGCAGGGGCTGCTTGGGGCCTCCCTGCTCCATGCACCCATGTCCGGACCCACACACTGGGAATCTTGGGGCTGGGGGCAGTGGGTCGGGAGTGAGGGACGCTGGGGCAGGACTGCTCATTGATGTTTACAAATGGGTCCTGGTACAAAAAAGGTTGAGAACCACTCCTCTAGCGGAGGTATCCTGCTAGCACATGGCAGGTGAAGGCCAAGACTGGCTACTTGGACTGAATAGACAATAGAATAACATTTATGTTTCCATGACAATTTCTGTTAGGCAACAACAAAACATTGTCACCAGCAAAAGATGACTAAGGAGGTAACTGGAATTCAAGGAGCCTGGGAAACTGCAAGAGACTGTAACAATGTGTGTGGATCAGGATAGAGGCTTTAATGTGTTGCAGATAGGACATTTGTTCAAAACTACTTAGGGGGACAGAAGTTCACAGATACAAAGAGGGAGGTTGGATCATCTAATCCAACCTTCTGTATATCATAGGTCATTACAGTGGCAACACGTAGGGGGTGCACAGGGGTGCATGTGCACCCGCTGAAAGTGCTGGTGCACCCCTTGACCAGCTGCACTTGCACTCCCAGAAGTGGCTACAGCCGGAGCAATTGGCTGCAGCCACATCCAGAAGCAGCTGCAGCAATTGGCTGGAGCAATTGGCCGCTTCACAATTGGCCGCGGGGGGACCCCTCCCCCAGTCAGTGGGATCAGCCATGAGGGACCCCTTCCCTCAGTCGCTGACTGGTCACTGGGCGGGAGCACGTGCCCCACCTAACTCAGGTGGTACCAGCCACCCATGAGCATTGCCTTTCATCCAGTTCCCCCTGTATTTGTGTTTGGCTAAAGCCAGGAAAGGCACTAGTCTTGCTACAAAGATGTCAGGAGATAATTCATTGCCTCTTACCCTGGTAGTCTGTTCCAGTAGTTAATCACTCTCACTGTCAAAAATGCATGCTGAATCTCTTGTTTGAACTTGAATTTGTCTGGCTTCAGATTTCATACATCAATCTTGCAATAGAGGCATAAAAAAACAAAAGAAGCCTTTCAATTCCTGGCACTTTCTCCCAGTTAGCCACATCAACGTCTACACTTGTGGTGCTGCAGAGTAAAAATCTCCACAGCAGGATAGTACTTGTATTTATATGTACTTGTATTTACAAGTACTATCCTGCTGTGGAGTCAATTAGTTTCCTGCAGCCTCATAGGGCTGCACGTGTAGACACAAGATGTTTACTGCGGAGCTAATTAGTCTACTGAGCAGTAAACGTTCTGTGTAGAAGTGCCCACTGTAAATCAACTCACCTTTCACTCTTCTGCTTGAAAAGCTAAACAGACTGGTTTAAGTCTCTCATTCAAAACCGTTCACTCCCAACCTCTAATCATTTCTATGGCACTTCTGTACACCCTCTAAAACTGATCCCAATGAGTTCCTAAAAATTTCCCTATTCAATAAAGATTCCCCAGAGGCAATGATTTTCCGAGATCTGTCAATCAGCTGGTTCTTCATCTATTTAATGTGTGCAGTACTGATAATGCAAATTATTTAATCAGAATATTGTGTGTCCTAAGTGAAACTATTTACAAAAGCCTGTATTTATTAAGTCTACATCGTTACCGTCATCAACCAAACTAGGAATTTCATCCCAAAGCATAAACAGATGCTTTGGACATCACCTATTTTCCATAAAACCATATTGATTGGAATTAACGATATTCCTGTCCTTTCATTTTTTTTTTAATTAAAGAATTGTGGCTCAATTTTTCCATTACTTTGCCTGGAACTGAGGTCAAGCTATCTGGCTTATGGTTATCGAGAATATTCTGCTTGCCCTTCCTGGATGCTGGCTATAATACTAGCACTATTCTAGTCTTCTGGAATTTTTCCAGTATTGCAAGATATACTAAAAATTAACATATACAGGCAACGGAGCCCCTTAGCCAGCTCTTTCAGAACGAAGGAGTGCAAGTTATCCAGGACTGGTTTTTAAAATAATATTTATCATTAATAGACATTGTTTAACATGCTTGGGTACTGATATATCAAAAAATACTGTGTCCTCTTTGTATGGTACAAGCAAATTATCCTGCCTTTTAAATGTGATTCAAGAAAATACATCTGCTTCTTTTCAAATATAGAACAGAAATATTTATTGATTGCCTGTCCCACACAGTTATTAAATAGAAGATGCAGGCAATCTAGGGTGAGTCTACACAAAAGGCTACAGTGCCATAGTGACGCACTATGGTGCCATAGCGTCCATTGGCAAAAACCATGATGATGATGCTATGTCACTGTAGCAACATGCTCCCTCATTATAGTGTGTTGCTATGGTGACACAGCGGCCAAAAATAACCATGTGCAGCATGCACAGCGCAGTACAGGCTGTTACTGTGCCATCTTTTAGTACTCCCTAAAGGAAGTACCAAAAGACAGCGTAGTAACAACATTGCCATAGCGACACATGTAGATGCACCCCTAGGACAGCATACACTGTCTTGGGATGTGGGTCTACTAGACTCTCATGCTGCCCTCTGCTGGACCATGGGGTAAGTTCTTGTTCAGGATCTGGATAAGAGGACCAGGGTTCTAGATAGGGGGTGCATCTACATGTGCCTTTTAACACGCAGCAATAAGCCCCAGAACTTATTGCTGCCGGGCACGTGTCTACACATGCACCCAGGATTGTGGCACGTTGAACCGGGGTGGAGCAGGCCTGGCTGGCAGGGGGCCCCAGAGGTCAGCCTGCCAGCCTGGGGCTGCTCCCCCTGGCTCCATGTGCTGCGGAGAGGCTGGCTGGGGCATGAGGGTGCTTTAATGCGGGTCTAGCTGGCAGACAGCCCCCACACTGAAGCATCCTCTTGCCCTAGCCAGGCATGTCAGCATCTACATGTCCAGTGCTGCAGAGTAAAAAAACTCTGCAGCAGGATAGTACTTGTAGATACAAGTACTATCCTGCTATGGAGTAAATTAGTTTACCCCAACCTAACAGAGTTGCATGTACAGACATTGGGATGTTTACTGTGCAGCTAATTAGTCTACTGCACAGTAAACGTCTCATGTAAATGCTCCCAGTGGGCATTTTTCTCTAGCAGAGAAGGAAGTTAGCCAAGCAGGCATTTGGAGTATGGTGAAAGTCCATGCTTATGTGGAACTTGGTACACCATAGGGGTCATAACTAGGCAAAACATTGTGGACCATATCCTCACCTATCCTTGAGTTATACTTGCTGTTGTGTAAGATGCCAGATTTTCAAAAAAGCTCAGCTCCTATTTACATACTTTGATACTATTTGCAAAAGTTCTCAATGCTTTCTCCTTAAGAAATCTACCCATTTGTTCTAGTGTCTAGTGTAAGCTGAGTTCTCGTGAATAACTTGCCAAATATAAAGGTAACGTGCTGAACCAAATATATAATTATGTGACCATTTGGCCTACTAATGTTCAAGTAAGCAC